TAATATCGGTAAGATTCTTATTGTGGCTTTTACATGTCTTTTATTTGTCATTGTGTTGTTGCAAGCGTTGTTTACCTTGTTTACAATGATGATATTTGTAGAAAACGGTTGTGCAATCACATGTGATTCGTCGAGGCCGGTGCTAGCTCATGACGGTAGGGTGGACATGCCATCGAACTTTTTAAGTCTGACTACAAAATGTGCTAACGAAAGTGCACCTGGTTTGTTGAAGATTTGCTTTAGCAGTCGCCATAACGCCTTTTACATCTATTTGTCGAGATTAATTGGGTAAGCGAGTTTGAATTTTTTCTCATCGCGTAATACTACGCTGTTTAGCTCACTTTTGGACAAGTGCATGGTTTACGAGAAAGACATCAAGGACGCGTCTGGAATGGTATGCAAAATGGTAAGATTATTTTCGTTTCAAGCTGTACCTTATCACCTGACCTTGGTTCCAGCTAGAGAGTTCATTAACACCTATCGAATTGCGGTCCCTAACCGAAAGCATAAATGCATTTCTGGCATTTTTCAAAGTGGATATGTTGATGCCGCATTTGATCCCAGATGTTGCGCAACGGTAAACAGACTTGTAGAGGCGCCTTCGCTTCACTCAGAAATTACGTGTGTTATTGGTCTTAGGTCTGCACAACGGCGATGCGTAACGGCGAATAGTTCTCAGCGTCTCGGAACCACAGTTCGTTTCGATTCGCCGACGTCCTCCATCGAACGTCCGACGCGACAAGAAATGCTGCAAGGTATTAACAGCTGGTGTGTGATGAGTCAGTCATCATTGTCCTAATTATTATCATTTTTATCGCCAGTATAATTAACGGTGTAATACTTATAATCGTGGTTGTCATCATAATCATCATCGCCGCTATCAACATTATTTTATGCGCGTAGTCGACGAAATACCGTTGTGCCCATTGGAACGATTTCCTCAGACTACTGTGTTAGAGAGCCCAGGGTCAGAATCATAATTCATTCGTTTGAGTGCATATTTAATCTGGTTGGTTGTCTTTTTATGCCCTATCTCCTTTTAGCAAGAGAGATGTATAGCGCGATAGAGCAGCCACGTTACTCGTACTTGAATAGGGACCTGGTTGTGAATAAGAGGCTGTCATTTATTTCCACGAAGGACAGCTCATTCGCTGACCGTATGAACAGCGGCAACCGCTTCCCAACCAGAGTGTTATAACTGCCAGTTAGAATTATGTAACGTTGCGGCTAAATGGGAACAGGGCTAACTGTATTTCACCATGTCGGCAATCCCGTACTTTGATCATGGTCTCTCCTTGCGACAAGAAATCGAGGAGGGCTTGAAGGACGCAACTATTAACATAGCGTAATAAATGTAATGTTCATTCTATTGATCTCAACTATTGATTATTCGTTTTTTAGCATTTAAATTGGAAAGACAGTCACTTATTTTGCTGAGCGATTTCCTGCGGCAGTGCAGCGAGGTACTGAACCTGTGGTTTTTGCTTTGTGCGCACCAGTTTAACGTCGTCGTGTCCTCCATGTCACCAGTAAGTTTTTAATCAATTATGTTCACAGCATTGCAGTGACAAATCCGTTTCTGATGCACGGTGGAAGCGCTATTATCAAGCTTTTTACGGTCCGCTGACGTGAGTAGCAATAAAAATTTATCAGACCGCTTTATACCTGTAACGCAAAACTGACCATTTTCAGGCATCAAAGTATTAGCCTACTCTGAAGGTGTAAAAATGCCTGCCATAACAGTCTGTAAAAAAAGGTTTTTAGATGTTTTCATCTCGCCATTATTTGAACAGATGATTTCAGCTCCTGTATTGCATTCAAAATTTGTGCGTTGTTGGGTAGACGATTTTCAGAAATTGGATAATCCTTACATCAGACATGCCGTTAGGGCTATACAGGACCAGAAATGGTGTTAGGAAGTCATGAATCATGTCATGAACCTTGTGTATAACATTACTATAACATCTATTTTTTCCTATGGAATCGAACTTAGCAATAGCTTATAGCAGGTCGAATCTAGCCAGGAAGCTGCACCATTCGGCACATTATGAATTTGCAGCATCTGAGTAGTTCTGTGTGTATTTAAATGATTCGATAAGATTCAGATTTT